AATGACTGCTAGTTTTTTGTTTGTCCTGTCTACCTACATCTCTTCTTCATCTTCTTAAGTAGAAATACGGACCAAGAGCTGGTCAGTAAGTACTCCCCAGCTTGAGAGAGATAGATACTGAAACATTTTGCTTGCCGGTGACATCAAAGGATGTGGATGTCATCACATCAACTGAAGGAGCCTGAAATGGGTTCAAGCAGAATAGGTCTATAAATTAGATGGCAAGAACCAGATTTGGGAAGACCAACATGATCAACACAGTTGAGGGGGAACTTCCTCACCTGCTGCACAAGCATGCACACAAGAGAAACAACATGAATTGGGAGAAGCAGGAGGTAATGGAAGAAAACAGAACATGCAAGGCAGGAAAAAAAAGTGGTGAGGAGAAGGGGAACTAGGAAACGAAACAAACAGAAACTTTTTAGAGGGATAACTTATCATAGCATGAGCCAGCTTGTGACACCAGACATGGACTTTTTCCATGGGACAGCTTTCTTTGGCTTTCCACATTTCTGTCAGATGAGAAACGGGTATCAGAAGCTCAGCTAATGACCTGTCCCAGGAGAGGAAGTGTGAAGGGTTGGCCAGGCAGACCCTGGTTCCTAGCTGCTACTGCTTGGAGCATGGGAGATCAAACCCTGGTTCCTAACTGCTGCTGCTGGGAGCATGGGAGACCCAAGGGTCAGAGCCTGGCCTCAATGAGGAGGATCAGGGAAAGGTGATGTTGATAGAATTATTACCTTGGTGAATATGATCTTTGCACCTTAATGCATGCTGAAAGATGTTCCCTAGTTCCAAGGGTATAGTTATAATTGCTTTCTGGTGTTAACTTCTGGCATCAGTTAAACTTACCACTTCTCCAGCCACAGAAAATTGGAGTAGAGGCACAGACCCAAGGAAAGAAAGAGTGGAGCAAAGGGGAAGAAAATACACACTGTGTGGAAATGAGAGCTAGAAAAAAATAGAAGAAACAGTGGAAAATGCAGAAAAGTATGAGCAAAAGAAAGGAAAGTGATGGAAGAGAGAGGAAAAGAGACACAAAATCTTACTGCTGAAGTTCAAGAAGGAAAGCTGTTCAAGGGCAGAGAGGAAAGACACAGCTGCAGCTAGAGAACCTGTATAGAAAAGTTTAATATACATCACCTTCACTATGACTGCTATATAAACCCAATACAACTTAGCACTTACATGATGCATTTTAGAAAAGTGGGGAGGGCAAAGGAGTCTGAGACACTAGTTTACAAGAGTATGCTAATATAGTAGCAAAGAAGAAGAGAGGTTAAGCATGCACACACCATCCATGTTGTACCACCTGGTCTCAGAGACCCTTGACTGTTCCCTGTACTGGTATAGATGTATAGGCAGTGACATCTGGGGAAGGTTTGGGTTGAGGTACTGATTACAATGGAGATGTCTATAATAAAGGCAGATGAAGCTGCTCTGGTGCACTGGGAGCCTATTTTGGACTGTCCCTGTTGCTATTTGCACTGAGCAAAATCTGCCACTTCTCCACTGTGTGATATTGAGCCACTGACTTAAACTTGTAGCATTTCAATTCCCCATAAATAAAATTTAACAAGTACTATGAACAACTGCATTACTTAAACCAGCAGCTGTAACAGTAATATCCCCTATTGTTAATCTGCAAGTGCAGTGAGCAGGCTTTTATCAGAATTTTGAGGATTTCAGCTGGAAGGAGGGACCTAAGAGTATGAATAATTTTGCCTTGTCACACCAATGTATAAAATCAGTGTAGCTCTACAGAGGTCAGTGAATTCTTCAGATTTCTACAGGTGGAGCTGAATACAAAATGTGAGCAGCCTTGCAGAATTGTGAATAAAACCAAAGGAAATCCTGCGCCAGCACTTAGTAATTTAACTAGACTTCATACTAATAACCACTGCATGCAGTCTGGCGTTTCTAAATATGATCTTTTAAATAAAGCAATGCAAGTACTTAAAATGCAACCATCACACAGCAGCAAAGTGAGTGAGCTCAAACAAGTAAATCCCTAGGTAGAGATGACATAAGCAGCATCTTTAAATGATAAACTTTCACCTTTCTGAGCTAATAAAGAAGAAGCCTACCTTCTTGCTAAAAATACACTGTACCAGCAAATTGCATACACTCAAAGTACACATTAAAATGCAGAGAGAACCCTCTGGGATCTGAGGACAAATATGGTCCTGTGCCAGAGCTGACTGATTTAAGACTGTTAAAAGGATGCTTTTAAACAATTAAAAAATATCTGCCAGTCTCTTGTGTCTCCCACTATGTTAGAACAATTCCATGGTAATGGGATGATGCTGGTGCACAGTGACATATGAGAGTAGAAGTCTGTGCTCTTACATTTCCAGTCTCCAGCACCCCAGAGGAAGGACAAGAAAAGCGGTGATTGCCGTCAGTCAGAGTCCTTGAACAGCACAAGGCCTGGAAATGTTAATATACCCAGAAAGATAAAAGTAACTGGAATTCACAGAAAGGACTCAAAAATCACTCCATGTTTCGAGAAGGTCTTTCAGGATGCCTGTCAGGGATGAGTGTCCCAGTCTCCAGGGACAGAGAGTCAGCATGCGTCAGCTTGGATTGATAAGCTCCTTTTTTCAGAAAATTATCCTAGGAAAGTTCTCAGTGAGCAAAGGCTCTCCAGGTCTACCCTGTAAAAACGGCCCTGCACAGCAGCAGGAAGGTGAGATGGTGTGATATTGTCCAGCAAAATCATTCAGAGCTGACCCTGGCAGTCTAATCCATGGCTGCCAGTTGCCATGGTGTTTGGACCCAGAATATCTATGTGAGGGTGCTGCAGGGATCCTGGAAAGCTCGGGTTTCCCTGTTGCCTGCTTTCATTTCCAAAAAGATAAACTCCCTGAAGGCTATGAGACTGGAGACCTTGCTGGTCTGTTTGGGCAAGAAGCCTTCGCAGCAACCAGCTGAGCGATGGGAAATTTTTTCTTCAGGATTCTAATGAACTCTGTCCAGTTGTGTATGGCCTTAGCCTTGCCTTAGATGGAAATGGAGCAGAATCAGTCCTTCTGCAGGAATGTCCGCCAGAGGCATGAATAAAATGACCTCCTACTTAGATGACAATCCCCTAGCCTGATGTGGCTTGCTTTTACTTCTTAGATAGATAGAAATTAATTCTCTGTGCCCTGTCCCTAGCCTTTCAGGGTTTGCAGCAGGGGCAAGGTGCAGAATCCATAGGACTTTGCCCATCAGAAGCAGCACAAATCTCCAGAGCTCCCCACTGATACCAGAAAGAAACCCTTCTGATGGCTTTGAAATCCCCAGCAAGCTGAGATGTGTCCATGGCTGAGGTCCCTCAGTTATCTTTTGGGAGCTGTTCATTGCTATCTCAGGGCTCCCAAAAAAACAGCAGCAGAACTGGACTGAACTTGGGGTCAGGCACAGGGGAAAGAGGCTGCACAGGCCAGTGAAACCCAGTTGTGAGGGTTATTGCATTAAGTATTAACCAGTTCTAAGGGCTATGGTGTCACTGCCTGTGACCTTGCTTATAGAGGAAATTAGGGTTAGCTGCATCAGCCATTGCCAGGTGGAGCCAGAGTGGGGGCTGTTGACGTGTTTCTGGGGGGAGAAGACATATTTTTCAACTTACTAATGATGGATTTTTAATAGGCCAGAAGCTGGGAAAGCATCCAGGTACAGAAAGTGTCTTCATCAGAAAATTAAGTGAATGGGAGCAGAAACACACTGTTGCTGTTCCTTTTCGGGTCATTTTGTTCTGGTGCTTTCAGCTGTATGCATAGAAACTCTTCAAGGAAGATATACAGCTTGAATTGTATGAGGCAATGAATTAATGGTTATCACAAACAGCTCCTGCCACTCACAGACTACAGCCCTGGAGGAGGAAGGAGCAGTAGCAGCATGTTAGGAAATGGATCTGAAGAAAAAATCCTCAGCTGCTCACAGGTCACTCCTGCTTTTAACCTGCTCACAATTTAAGGGTTTTGAAGGTACTCATGGGTGCTGCCCCACTGGAACCTCTTGTGAAAGATGATCCAGAGTCTGAGCCCACCTAATGGAGGTGCGGAGGGGTGAGGAGGCATCTGAGTGTCTGCTGCTGCTGGTAACTACATCCAGGAGCTTCCAGAGCTGCCCTAAGCAAAAGGACCCAGGGGATTTATTGATGGGATCCTCAGCAGCCCTTTTGAGGACAATGTTTTCCAGCCCTGACTGTAACACCAGCACCTTTGTTTTCTCCCCAGGAGTCTCAGCCCACTGTTTGTTGTTGTGTGTATTTTTACCCTGCTTCACTATAAAAACAAAGTTAAATGGCCATGTCATCAGCCTGTCATTTCCCTTCACTAACTTATGAGGGTACAAGACAGTTTTGACCACATTTGGCAATGGAGGTTGAAGGTTTTAAGAAAGAGGTCTTTATATTAAAAGGCATGTATATTTTAAAGTGGTGTTGGAGGGATGAGACCCCCACATTCATTGCCACAGAGAGCAAGAGTCTGCAGCAGAAGCTGAGCAGGCATTTGTCCTGCCAGCTGGACCATCAACATGCTGGCTGGTGTATTAAGGGACACAGAAGGGTGTGGGGCTTTTGCACTGGGAACAGGAGCAGGGTACAAGAATATGCCATGGGAAAAACAGATTCAGTGTTTATTCCTGTTACAAAACATCTTGTTTTCCCACAGTACGAGGAAAAGTGATTTCCTGGTAAAGAACTAATGGGTGGAAAGTCAGGATGTGTTCTGGCTTATTTGAAGTTGCCACTGGTTTTCACAGACAGAAGAAGCCTGGAAGGGTTTCTCCATAGAAATAGCGTGGTAAGGTCTCAAATCCTCGCCTTGCTCCCCAGCATATACACACACATACCCATTCATACATACACACACAGAACTAGGGTCTCATGAGCAGCAGTTCACAATGATTTTTTTCATTTGTATTGTCTGGCTGGGGTCAGACACGTCTCCATGTGCCTCATGTGGGTGTCTCTGCGTGTTCCAGTTCACAGCGTCCTGCCTATCTACCAGGGACCAAACCTCAAGTATTCAAGAAAATAACCTATATGTGATCTAAGCAAAGGAAATCATTAGTAAGATCTTCTTAAAAGGAGAATTCCTTGGTTCTTAGAAATGTTTGTGTATTAGCCTCACAGCTATTTCTGTCTTTTTCTTCTGCCACATCTGTGAACACACATAAGCATGCCCTGGACATACACATGATGGGAACTTTGGGAAAGCAGGCTTAAGAAGGAACAACCTCCTAAGGAAACATTTCAGGTTTGAAAAACAAACAAACCTGGCATCAGCAAAAGCTAAGTGTCTAAATGTGCTCAACAAAGCTTTTGCTATAGGTACGTATAGTCAGCTAAGTTCTCTTACCTATTATGAACAGGATACTTGATTCACTTGATCATTCACTCAAAAAATTGCTATATGCTAAGGAACTCACAGCTCCAGATCATACCACACCTGACAGATGAAGTGACACCTGAGCTGAAAAGCTGCTACAAACCTTGCTTATAGATTATTTTTTTATAAATGCTGAGTGAACTCATAAATGTCCATACATGAGTGCATGCTACCTCCTTACACACCAGGAAAGTGCATTGCCAGTCATAAGGGATGGAAAGAACACAGCAAGCCACACCACGGGCACAATTCAGGCATTCCAGCTGCAGCCAGCCATTTTCCTGAGCATGAATGACCCAAACAGGCTGACCTAAGGGAAGCCTGAGAAGCCTAAGAAAAAGCTGTTGGGAAAAGGCTTTCTCACAAGCATTTATTTCCCTTGTTATTGCACAGCCATCTCCAAACTACCACATGTAGGGCAGGCATGGAATAAGCCTGGTCTGCTGGAGACATTCCTAATCAAACCTGAAGGTGCTCACCTAATAGTCATGGAGCTGTTGTGGGGCACTGCCAGATCTCAGGGTGCAGGCAAACCCCTTTCTCAACAGGTACACACATGCTCAGTGCTCTGCTCTCACACAAATCTTGGGTAGGATGCAGATCATTAACACAACCAGGTTAGGGTGTCTCTATGCCAGTGAGAGGTCTAAATTTCCAGCAGTGATGATTCAAGACTCAATTTAGTCACTACTCATAGGGCTCTAGTGCCACTTAGAGGTCCTTCAGCGTTGTCATGGGGCTAATAGACATGACAATGAGTCTTGGGGTACTCAAGAGCATCCCAAATAGCACCAGGCATGATGGATGCTAACAGAGACTCTCCTTTCACAACCAGTCATAGAATCATAGAATAGTTAGGATTGGAAAGGACCTTAAGATCATCTAGTTCCAAACCCCCTGCCATGGGCAGGGACACCTCACTGTAGATCATGTCATCCAAGGCTCTATCCAACCTGACCTTGAACACCACCAGGGATGGAGCATTCACAACCTCCCTGGGCAACCCATTCCGGTGCCTCACCACCCTTACAGTAAAGAACTTCTTCCTTATATCCAATCTAAACTTCTCCTGTTTAAGTTTGAACCCATTACCCCTTGTCCTGTCACTACAGTCCCTAATGAAGAGTCCCTCTCCAGCATCCCTACAGGCCCCCTTTCAGATACTGGAAGGCTGCTATGAGGTCTCCACGCAGCCTTCTCTTCTCCAGGCTGAACAGCCCCAACTTCCTCAGCCTGTCTTCATATGGGAGGTGCTCCAGTCCCCTGATCATCCTCGTGGCCCTTCTCTGGACTTGTTCCAACAGTTCCATGTCCTTTTTATGTTGAGGACACCAGAACTGCACACAATACTCCAGGTGAGGTCTCACAAGAGCAGAGTAGAGGGGCAGGATCACCTCCTTCTGAGCTGCTGGTCACACTCCTTTTGATGCAGCCCAGGATATGGTTGGCTTTCTGGGCTGCAAGCACACACTGCAGCCAGCTCATGTTCATTTTCTCATTGACCAACACCCCCAAGTCCTTCTCCACAGGGCTGCTCTGAATCTCTTCTCTGCCCAACCTGTAGCTGTGCCTGGGATTGCTCCCACCCAGGTGTAGGACCTTGCACTTGGCATGCTTAAACTTCATGAGGTTGGCATCAGCCCACCTCACAAGCGTGTCAAGGTCCCTCTGGATGGCATTCCTTCCCTCCAGCATATCAACCGAACCACACAGCTTGGTGTCATTGGCAAACTTGCTGAGGGCGCACTCAATCCCACTGCCCATGTCACCGACAAAGATGTCGAACAAGACCAGTCCCAACACTGGTCCTTGAGGGACACCACTCGTTACTGGTCTCCAGCTGGACACTGAGCCATTGACCACAACTTGCAAATGGCCATCCAGCCAGTTCTTTATCCACCGAGTGCTCCGCCTATCAAATTGATGTCTCTCCATCTTCTGTCATCTCAGTGACTCATTAAGCTCCTCTGGCTGACATGGAAGTAGGCTTCAGGTTTCCAAACATCCCTAAGCCTTCATTTGTGCTGTCATTTTAAATGGTGCAGGATACCCTGCCTGGCTTACCAGGGCATGGGTCTATGGTAATTACTGTGTCATATCTGCCAGCTTGAAAAGGTGTCATGGGACCACAGGGCATTTCAGATGGCATCAGGTGTCCCCTGCACATGGCTGGAGTTGGTAGCATAGACACCTAGGTGGAGGAATGTAATCTGAACCTGGACCCCACCCCAAATATTTAAATCACATAGACATTTGCAACTGCAACTTCTGCCTCTGAGTTTTCAGTTTAATCGGTATCAGCAGGTCCTCAAATCAACCCAAAAGACAGTCAGGTAAGTTCTTTTTACTTGCCTCCTTCCCAAACTGAAATCCACCAAATCAGGTTGGGAAATCGTGCTATTACCTCCTAAGATAGAGACTGAACAGAGGGTTTTGGCATTTGACCATCCAAGATCCTTTCCCAGTCATTTGACATGATAAGCATGTAATAGCAATACAGTCACACTTTGTATTTCAGTTATTGTAACAAATCACTGATATTATATCTGTACAGGTAATCACTGTAACGTTGATAAGTACAGCCCACAGTGCTCTGTTTGTACAAAGCTTCTACAGCTTTTACCTGTACTTTATTCCAGGTAACCAAATAAACAAATCTAAAATAACTTTAGCCGCTCTTAGTCCTGTCTTCATTAGCTCTGCACTATCTTGTATTAATATGCATAATATTGGCTGTCAGGTTTTACGCTCCTGTAAGCCTTAGTCTTTGTGCAGAAATTTTGGTCCCAGTACTTTGTGCTAGTTACCTTGCTCCACAATTACTGCCCAGCAGCAGGGATTAGTCAGTATTTCAGCACAGTCAAAACCTGGTGGGAAATCTTTATGTGCACCTGTTTTTGGCAAAGTATCTTTCCTCCAGTGACTTTCTGTATGGCTGAGTTACGATCCTGACAAGCTCACACAGCAAATCCATTCCTGTCTTTTTTGGGGTGATGATGTCTAATGATGTCTTTAGTGTGGGGTATGACAAAAATGTACATGTGAAAAAAGTACCATAGTCTGGCCTGCATAAGACAGACAGTCTTGCATTCAATTGCTCCCATGACTGGGCCTAAAAGTCCTTCAAAGTCAGAAAAGATGGGCCAAATTGTTTCTGCAGGATTTTGAAGCAGTGGGTTAATAGGATGAGGGGTAATGTTTTTAAGGTAAAAGAGGGGAGATCCAGGCTGGACATGAGAAAGAATTTTTTACAAAGGGGGTGGTGAAACACTGTCTCAGGTTGCCCAGAGAGGCGGTAGATGCACCATCCCTGGAGACATCCAAGGCCAGGTTGGATGTGATTCTGGGCAACCTGGTATAGTTGAAGATGCTGCTGCTCATTTCAGGGGGCTGGACTGGATGACCTTTGAAGGTTCCTTCCAATCCAAACTATTCATGATTCTATAATTCTATTACAGTGTCTTTTCCCTCAGAGAAGTAAAAAAATAACTAACAGTATATAAAGATGTTGAAGCTTAGTCTGTGTTTAGATGAGACAGTTGTGAGAAAGACTCAATCCTGCCACCTGAGCATAGACCCATGTTATCCACAGAGAGGTGGAAGTGTCTGGATGTCCATTGCAGCTAGGATGGACAAGATGACAGCCTACACTTGACTTTTCTTTGTCAAAGGTCAAACTGCTTAAAAAACCCCATACAGCCCAAAGGAAGCAGCAGCAGCCCACTGCCTTTTCCCCCTGTACAGCACGAAGGATGTGGTTTTCCTTTTTCATGTGGGACTTGCCACAGTTGTCTTTTCTGCTACCTCAGTTGGAGGATGCCAAACATCCTTATGTGAGGGTGCAGCTGAAGGTCACATGGAAATTTCGGTTAGCAGAGTATGTATCTCCATGGCTGATTAGTAATGTTTCCCATATGGTGCCTTCATTATTTGCTGTCTAAAAATGGGACTAACTCATGCTATGCTTTGAGGTACAGTCCAAACAGCTTTTGGTTTTGGCTTTGGTGGGGTTTTTTAATCCTCTCACCCTGTCCTGTTGGTGTCCTCCGTTTTTAAAAGCTTCTTTACCTATTTAAGAAACACCTCAGATGAAGACATTGCCGGATCATCTGAATGGCCAAAACAGAAAAAAAACAAACAAACCCACAGGGCTTCTTCCCCTCCTTCTTTAATGGCTGCATCCTCCCTTCTCCTCTCATATTTGCAATTTTTTTCTCCCTCCTGATTTCGCTTCTCATTTCTCTGCTTTTTCCTCTTGTATATTCTCTAATGGCAACTCTATCTTCTCCCAGAGTTTCAGATACTGTTTCTCCAGCAGAGCCTCAAACCCAGCTCAGCTTTTCAGCTTTGCATTTAATTCCTTTGACATTTGTTTTTGTGTGCCTATCCACCATCCCAATACAAGTTCTTTAGGATGAACCCCAGATCTTTTTGCCTTGGCCTTTTCTGCATCATCTATCACTGTAGACAACTCCATTTTCTTCTTTCTGTCTTGTAATCTGGACTCTTTTGTCTCCTTCAACCACACTAAATCTTGTCTCATGAATCTTGCAATTTCCTTTTTTAATATAATCAAGACCAGTCTTTTCATTGCTATCTCCAGTCTTAACACCTGATTCATCTTCTGTCCTTGTGATGATTCCTGCAACAGGCAGCTGTAATGCTGCTAGAATATTTCAGTCAGGGAATAAATCCTGCTCATCTGCATTTTTTTGTTCGATTTGGATGATTTGTTGCTCTGTGATAAACTGACTTTTCTTCATGGACAAAGTAGACCTCAGATGTGGTCCTTTCTGTGTGCTGTTAACTGTATGGCCAATACCACTTTCAACCTGAGCAATTGTTGAACAAAGCTTTGTATGATATCTTCAATTTCTTTTGCTACTCCATTGCAGGGTCATCTGATCTGTTTTCTACTCTGCAGTAATTATTTCATGTCACTCATTACAAGTGAACAAATCAATTCAGTTTATAAGCTCTGACTCTTCCTACCTGCATACTCACTCCAGTGGACTGTTTCCAGCTTGTGTTCTTCTCTGAGCCACTGACAGGACATGGCTTCACTGGATGGCATGAAGAGAAAGATATTTTTTCTTTACTTGCAAAACAATTGAACGCTAAACCTACTCGAATGAGAAACATGATTATTCCTCTATGTGACTTCTTTATTTGAGCTCTTTTGTTTGCACAGTCTCTCTTCCTCACATATTTTGCACACTGCCGGTTTAAAACTTTACGTATCTGTAACTCTACTGCTCATGCTGAGCGCATCTGCAATGTGTTGATTAGGAGCCACCTGGAAGATGTGGTAGTCATCACAAACACCTTTGCTTTTCATTCACATCAGTTACAAGCCAGGTCTTTAGTATCCCTTCCTCACCCTTCAACTCTTAGAATACAAAAGATTCCCTGTATCTTGTACCTCTAGAAGATACGGGGAATCTTGTAAATGTGTAGGATGTATCCTACAGGAAACTGGTAGAGATGCTTCTCTTTATGTGGTTTAAGTCTTTGTCACTGCAAATAAAATTTCTTTTTGTAAGTACTGAGATGGATTTTACTGGTTTGCACAGCTTGGCCACCTGGGAAATTGCAGCGACAACAAGGATGGAAGGTGCATGCTGCTGCACATAGATTTGTATATGTTGTACCTACATATACACATATGTGTCAGCCCCTGACAGGGGAAATGTTCACCACATCTGAACATCGCACGTCCCATGACAAAAGCTGAATGTGCCCGATTCCTCCCAGCAGAGGTCAGTGGTAACCTAGTTCCCAAAATTGCTTGGCGTGTCCAATCAAGCATGTACACACAAAACTGCCTCGGATAAAGGTGCCCTGCAGAAGGGTGGCTCAGGCAAAGTTGTACACCCAGTGCTGGGAAATTTCATATCTATTTCTCAGTATAGGGCCACAAGCATTTCGCATATGCAATACTGCCTTAGCTTTTTCCTGAGATGTGCACTGAACTTTTCATTATAGTAAATAACACTTATGGCTCACAGCAGCTTCCTTTTCTCATTGGTTCTTTCCCCCCACTTTAGATCATGGTGTTAGTATCACTTTGGCCATTGTGGCCAATTTAACACAAAGTTAAGAATTCCCACAACAGTTTTAGTTGCTATTGAGAGTGCATAATGTATTAAAAAGCTTTCATTTAATGTTTTCTTTCCTCTCCCACTGAAGATGAGAACTATGTAAAGTACTCTTTCTTTTTCATTGTTTTTTCCCCCACCTTTATGCCTGAACCCTCCTCCAAGACTCACGCTGCCAATATAACGTATGTATCAGATATAAGAGGCTGGAGACCCTGTTTAATAAACTGCATTGCAGAAGATAATGGTGTGTTGTATTTTTCAGCATCTCTTTTCTGTTTCTTTCTGAAAAGCACTTCAAGCTTTATTTCACATTAGTGTTCAGTACAGCCCAGCCACCAGCTCTGCAACAGAAACAGCAAAGTACAGGTGAATAGGAACAAACTTCTAATTAGAGCTCAGCTTGCCTCTGTTAATTTATTTCAGATTCACCAACCTTGAACCATTTGATACATGGCAATGACATTCTTGTAATTCACAGTTACTCACCATTTAAACAGCAACTCAAGAGATGCAGAGCATTTCATAGACATTAATGACCCCCTGGAGACCTGCTGACCTAAGGCCAAGGACCCATAACCTTGATTGATCATAAATTCCCAAACCACTGTTTTGGCCAGAGTTCATCATCGCTATTGGAAGCTGAAAGGCATGGAATAATATGTAAGATGTCTGTTTTTTCCACACTGCCAGGTTCTGTGATGTGCCTGTCCTAAATTACCCTGAAATTCTGGGAACTGCTAGGGAATTGACTTCCTTTGTGTAAGCTCACCATGTTCCGTTTTTACATCTTAACTACTCTGTTTCTCTAATTCAGAGAATAAGCTGCAGCACTCTGTAAGATTGTTTTGTCCAGTCTTTAATTCCTCTTTCTAGTGTACCTTTCTAGGTACATCTATTGAAATGTGCTACAGTCTTAATGTTTAAACCAAAGACACTGAAGTCTAATCACCTGTGGGTTTTTCTGCTGTCTTTCTGATGTATATTTGTATGGTGCCACAGCTTCAACAGACAAGCTATCCTTCCTAAATTAATGAGGAGATCCAACCCAGAGCAGCCCAGGGCAGGGCACAACCCTTGGGGACCAGCAGAAATGATGTTCACAGCTGTCTTGCAGCACACAAAGTGATTTCTAGATTAAGGACAGTATCAGACCTATGAGGAAGTCTAAATACTTCCTTATAATGGAGATATCAATAACTAAATGGTTTTGGTTCATCAGGAGTAAACCATGGAAAACCTCCTAGGTCATGTTAGGACAAGGGAGCAGGACAAGCTCAGGACTGTATTGTGGTGTGTCCCATGCTGATTTCAGTAAGGATGGTCCCTATGATATCAGGTCTGCCTAAACAAGGTGGAAGATCCTCTCCATGAGGGCTTATGCCTGCAAACACTTCCATGTTTGACCTGGCTAAGACCCTTCCCAGCAGAGGCTTCAGAAGAGCTGATGAAGGAGGAAATTCCCACCAGCAAGCTCCATCACTTGCTGTTTATTACACTCCTCCTGCTGGACCCAAGGGAGAAGCAGAGACCACCCAAATGAAAAGAGTCTTTCAGTGTTGCATGAAAGACCTAGAGAGCTGCTGGAAGAGCAGGGAGGTGGCTGGGCAGAATTCATCAGGCCCAAGGAGGTGCTAAAGGGGCAAAGGCCTGCCGAGGGGCAAAGAGTGTAATGCCATTAATTTTTGGTCACACTTTGGGGGGAGGAGAGGCTAAGAAATTATAATGCATGCAAGAAGGCAGGAGAGATGGCAAAGGATGCTGGAAAATGGACAATTTTATACAAAAATAATTTATTTGCACTGTTTAAGTATTCTTGGGGTATCCTAGAATACTATCACAAACTTTCAACCAGTCAAGTAAAAGGAAATGTGGGTCAAGTGGAAAGAAAAGGCATGTTTTTAATATCTTCACAGTAAGATCTACAGGTCTGCAGTGCCAAAACCACATGAAGAAGTAAATGTGCAGTCTTACTTAAAAGTTTCTCCACAGATTTACTAATCTGTTGGACTTAATTTTGTGTAATTTCTGCACCTGGAAGATTTAGCCAGATATTCCACCTGAGCATTACTGCAGAGCTTTTCCCTTCACCATTTACTAGCAACGTTATGCCAATGACACAAATCCCAAGGAACTCTGAGGCGTGGATCTTACTGCTGAGATACTCTTCTCTCACTTGTTTCTTCTTCACGGTTCCAAGCTTGGGCTAGGGTAAAAATTCAGTAACAATGTTTAAAAACTCATCAAATTTCAGCAACAATGGACAGAGACATCTCCCGTCCAAACCCTGGGTTCTTCAAGGTGGTCCAGATGCCCTAGAAGAAGGGAAGATATGGCTACCAACTGTGTTGAAATGAGGAGGACTGTGAAAGGCAGTCTATATGTCTTCCCCATATACTGAATCGGGTTCCAGCCATACAAGTGTGAAACTGGAAGAGGCTTCCTGGGGAAAGTTCAACCTTTTCTGGTTGTAGCAGCCGAGCTGTAAAAGCAGGGAAAATATAACTGGTTTATCCATGATCAAAACTTCATTTTTAAACACTTAGGTTTCTTACCTACACAACTTCTGTTAGAAAGCAGAACTATTTTCCTCTTATTTAATATATCTGCTTGAAAAAAATCCCACTAGATGAAAGATTTCAGCAGAATTTCTCTCCAAGTTATCTTTTCTGACTCCTTCCTGTATTTCAGAAGGCAAACAGCAACACTAAAACAAGCTGAGCTTTTAAGAACTGCTCAGCCAACAACTAGGTGTTTTCTTCATATAGTTTTCCCATCATAAATATACTGTCAATACAGCATAAACCAGAGGCAGATGGCTTGTCAAAAAAAGTAAATCTAAAAATAGGATTCTCTGTTACGTACAGTTTATTATAGCTGCAACTGTAATAAACTGTACCCCTTTCAGGTTGTTTTCCTGCAAATAGTTTTATGGGGTTTTCTGCTTGCATGGATGGATGGGTAATTGGATGGATGGGTAGACAGATGTCTGGAGAGGGAATTTTATTCAAGCAAATGGAGATCCAGCATGTCAACAAGTATATTCATGCCAGAATTGCTTTCTCGCCTGTCATGGATAGAGACATAGAGTTAAATATGTATAAATAGGTATATGCATGGTTATTGGCAGAAATGTGAGCTAAAAATGAAGAAAGTATCTTCAGATTGATAGCATTTCTGCTTTGTCAGGAGGAAAATCCAGCTATTTAAAAACTGGGACCAGCATACCATGGAAACATAACACTGCTGTGCAAAACGAACAGGATCAAAAGATGAAAACGTTGTTAAATGCTTTGATTTTTCCTAGGCTTATTTTTCAGCTATCTGTATCTGAAGCTGCAGGGTAAACCCAAGCACTAACATGACAAATGGAAAGCAGGGACAAGGGAGACAGTGCCTGTAGTTATCCTGATGGGTAAAGTCAGTGATCCACACGTACCAGCTGGCTCCAGGGCTGTGCCACACTGCACATCAACCTCAGTGCAGGGCAGACTCAACCAGGTGTTGCAGTGGAGGATCCTGCAGGCAGCTCCCACTCAGCACTACAATTACACCACCTGTGTGGCCTTGTCTTTAAGAGTGCAGCAGCAAGTTCTCATGTGAACAGCCTGTCTGTTGGATGGGAGAAATGAAGAACAGAGTTGTTTTCTTATAACAAAATCCTGTAATAGCTTGAATGACCAATATGGAGTAACCTTTTTTATGGATGAGGTGTGCAGATTGTGCTGCACCTGATGGGAGGCTGGTTTGGTGCTGCACAACTTGAGGTTCCCAGCAGATAAGGAGATGCTCGTTTACCTCTAATATTCTTTCTTTATTTATATTATTAGGATTAATAAATACCATTTTAAATGATACTTTACAGAGTCTGAGCTCATTCCTTACCAGGATCATAATAAAACAGCTAACATGCAGGACAGACAGCTCCACAAGGAGCCATCATACATGCCATGATGAAAGGGGCAGGGGATGGGGGCAGCTGCCTTTACTGGGAGCTGGGCTTCCCTGTATGGTTGTGCCCATGGAGAGAGGGGAAACTGGAGCCTGGGCTGAGAAGATTGATTTGCTAGTGCTGGTCAGGTCGTGTCCCAGCAGCCAACCTCTCTTCACCATCCACCCTCTGCACTTGGGAGCAAGAAATCCTCCATCCTTTTAAGTGTGTAAAATACATACTGGCATTGTCCTCTGCTGGTTAGTGCCAGCCCCATAGCGGGGTTTGCTCTGATGAACACTAGCAGACCCACAAAGCACCCTCTGCTCCCAGTCCCTGGCTCTGCTGGAACCCAGGCAGGTCAGCCATGGGCAACCACCACAGGAGCCACCAGCAGCCCTGTAGAGAATACTGCCCTCTGCATTTTACTAATTTATTCATTTATATTTTCTGTATTTTCTTATTTATTCTAAAGGATGTCTTTTTACATTTATTCGTGGTTCACATTTGCTCAGTCTGTGTGGGATGGCTCCTTAAGGGATGGAACCGACCACTCCTGCTGAGCAGTTGATGCCCTACAGGGAATCTGGGCTGTACTGGTAAATTTGGTCAGGGGTACTGTTCCTATTCCCTGGGGTGATGAGCCCTACTCATCAGGAAACTGATTGAGGATTGAAAGAGGGAGAGGGATGATTGTCCTCCTAGAAAGAAACAGAGCAAGAAGATCAGGAACATTTAGAAAACTAAGACTTCATTTAGTGGGCCTCAGTTTAAACCGCAACTTTATCCAGCCCTTTTGCCATGTGGTAAGTGCTTGTGTGCAGACATGTATTGGAAGCATCAATGAAATGATCAGACCTTGCTATTTTTTATATTGCATTTTCATATTCACATTATTTATTTAAATTTTAATATTTAAATGAAATTATTTATATTTATAACATCCATCTCTATTACAAATACTATTTATCATATTCATAATCATGGTGTTTATATTATTTATGCTATTATTATATTTATACTATATTTATATTATTCTTATTTTTTTGTCATGGATTGGGGGTGCACCAGGCCAAACTCAGAATGCAAATAGCAGCTGCAATGTACTTTAAGCTTGTGGTACCAGCCTGTGGGGCTCCATAACGCTGCAAAACTGGCAAGTGCAGAAGATCATCAGCAAATAAGGAAAATGGGGAGGAATGAAGAGACACAAGCCTTCTGGCCTGCATACAGGGCTTTGCACCCATGCAGCCAGGCAG